ATATATATATATATCCCCTCAAAAGATCTTGCAGAAACCTCGCTTGGCCTCATCAGCTTCTTTTTTAATAACAGGAAACCAGAAAACCGACTTTTTGTTCAGCGAAAAAAATCGCAACACTGCTCAGAATTTTTGAAGCTTGTTTCTCGATTGTTGTTGTATTTGTGGCATCTTTTTTTCCGGAACGGGAAAGATGCATCTCAACATGCTCAATGTGGAATGTAAGTTATGTAACTGTGTCCTTTTTATGGCAAAAGAGCAACCCGACTTGACTAGGGAATGAATGTGCAGTTCCTTTCACCCCTTTTTTTTTGTTACGGGGCATTGTTTTTTGTGGAGGCAATGGTGAAAGAAAAGAAGAAGAAAAAAAAAAAAAAACACTATTAGAGCTGCAAAGACAGTTTAATGCTGCCTTTTGTATTAAAGATGTGTAATCATCATGTTGTGAAATTTGACTTGCTTGAATGCTTTATGTCATAGTTGTTCTGAAACGCAAAAGGGAATTTGTTTGACAAATAGCAGTCTATTTTGAACATGTTTTAAAACTCAACTATATTTATATTTGTCATCTTTTTTTTTTTTTTATTATTATTAATATAAAATTGATGTCCTTTGAAGATATTCAATAAGGTCAATGTAGTGATGTTATTGAATATAAACTAATTATATATACCTTTATATATAAATTAAAATTATTTATCAATTACAAGTGAATTTTAAAATCGTTAACCATCAATATGTTTTTTTGACACCAGGAATAGTTAGGTCGAGAAGAGGAACAATTATTAGTACAAGAACAAAACTAGTCATATATACAGGAATATCTAAAAACCTAAGAGTACTACCTCGAGAAATGGATTCAAAATGGGGAGAACCACTTGGGGAGCTCGACTCATTGCACGATTATAATCCTCCCAGTTGACCTCTCCAATAGTGTCATTATCCGATTCTCGAGAAGGGTTACCCTGATCCTGAGCTACCTCGAAACCCATTATTTGGACAAAAGAATCGGAGGATTTGAGGGCCTCACCAACCAAACGACTGACCGAGTAGGGAGAGGAATCTATAGTTCATTCCAAGATAAGTCGTGAACATATTATTTATCAACAATAGGGAGCACGACTAAATTGAGGTCACGATAAGCAATTGAAGAAACCTAACCAATTCAAAAATACGACCTACATAGGTTTAAGTCGACTGGCGAGATACAATTATTAGATAAAAATTAGAATCCTTAAGATCAAAAACAAATTTTGCTAGAACAAACATGAAAATTATGAAGAACATTAAAAAAACATTCAACTTAAAACCCAGAAAAATGAAGAAATAATCAAGAGAAAAGATTACTACTTACGTTACAAGAAAACTTACTCATTGCGAATTGTTGGACGGACCAGAGAGAGTTGATTGATGGCAAAAAATCTTCGGAGTTGCAGTATGTCAAAATGTCTTTGGAGTTCAGAAAAGATTAAGAGGGCAAAAGTGTTGAGGTGAAATCAGAGGGGATATTTATAGTCAATCCAATGGATTTGGACCCTTGGATCAGGATATGATTGAAAGGTTCAGATCAAGCATGGGAATCGAAGAGTTAGAATATGAAGCGACGCAGGTGTCTTTTTGGACCTTCATTTATGACAGTGTTAGAACTGTCAGGGGGTATAAACCATCAATTTTACTCCTATGCTCGATGTTGCTTTTGTCTCAGAGTGAATAACGACCTAAGATCATGTAATTATAAAGGAATAAAAGAGATTCTTAAAGGGATAAGAAGGATTCTTAAAATGACTAGAATCTGACTAAAAAATGATTAGGATATGGATAAAAATTAAATCCAGGCAGTCGGGTAAGCTGCCCACGGGCACCTGGACAGAACATTTCGAGTAGGTATTTCCCCATAAAAGGGATTGAGATATCTCCAAACCATAAATTTACATTCTCCATATATTTTATACTACGCTTATTTATAAGGCACTATGACCTTCTTGATACTGACTTAGGCATCAGGGGATGTTTGCCGGAAACTCCTCCGGTGTTGAGTTCTTGCAGGTATACGCACGACGGTTCATGTAGATTGGGCTCATCTCCAATCGATTCTATCCAGGTCTAAAAAGGGACCCATAAGTTACCTTGATAGAAAAGATATGATTCTTCTCTAGCGCATACATCAATTTTGAGTGTTACCTTGATTGTCCGTTCATCGTATACATCAATTCGCTACTGTTACCTTGATTGTCCGTTCGTCTTTATCATGTCGTCGTTCGCTTAAGTAGTAGAGTACTTGTGTTGATAACGTGGTGTAGTATGTATCATCTCATACACAGAGAAAAGAGGGAAAGCGAGAGGACATGTGAGAAAGAAAACGAGACACAAAATAGAGAAGTGAAAATAGTTATTTTCACCCGGTTTGAAGTCTTGTTAAATTTTTCCCACCGTCCAATAAAAAGCTAAGTTTTTCACCCCAGAAAGGCATTGTGCGATGAATATGCGACAATTGCGCGATGACATTGTGCGAAAGTTAAAAGTGCGAAGGCATTCGCATATCTCTTCGCACTTTCTGGGGTGGAAAAAGTTAAAATGCGAAGGCATTGCGCGATAAATATGCGACAGGTATGCAATTGATATGCGACAGTTATGCGACAGTTTTTCGCATAACCTTCGCATATGTGACAGTTATGCGATAAATATGCAACAGTTTTCGCATAACCTTCGCACTTTTTGGGGTGAAAAACTTAGTTTTTATTGAGCGATGTGAAAAACTTAATGTATCTTTGTATTGGGGTGAAAAAGATTTTTTCCCAAATAGAGAAATTGTCAAAACATCAATTTATTCTATTAATTCATGTGTACTCTATGTATGAAATACATTATACATGCTAATAACCTAACGGACAATTGGCTCATCAGTTTTGCTATGAAGCCAACAGTTGGCTCCATAGTGGAGTCAACCTTCTATATACAACAAATAAACCTACCATATTAATAAAATTATATTAATGTTATTTAAGTAATTAAAGAATATGATATGTTTATTTGTTGCATATAGAAGGTTGGCTTCATAGCAAAACCGATTGGCTCATGCCTACAAACTTTATACTACCTCCTATTTTTTTAAAATGTTATTTTGACTTTATCAACCATTAACAAAATAAATGTCGTTTTGGATATTTTGAACATATTTTTTCATTATTACCCTCATTTAGCTAATAAATATATTACGTCTTTTCATATTCACTCTTTATCTTTTTTTTTTCAAAACACTCATCTCTATCTTCATTAAATAGGGTTATTATAGGTAAAAAAATATTCTTAATTAGTGTGCAATTCTCATTATGACAATTATTATGACAATAATGCTCACCTACACGGTGGTCATATGTTAATATGCACACCACTCATGTGGCATGCACACATTGGTGATGTATTTTTTTTAACATATTAACATCACTAATGTGTGCATGCCACATAAGCGGTGGACCTATTAACATATGCCCACTGTGGGTAGGTGAACATCTCTCTATATATTAAAAATAATAACCTTTTAAGGATTCCCGCCAATTTTTCCCGCCAATATATGTATATATAATCACCTGCCAATATATGTATATATAATCACCCGTTAATTTAACTTTCTTTTTTTTGGGTAGATAGGGTAGTCAACCGCTGATTAATTGGGTAGATAGGTAACAAATCGACTGAATTATTGAGTAGAATTTGTTATTCTCTTTCTTTTTTTGTATCAAAATAAATAGTTGTAATTAATTTTGGTATCAAAACTAATAATTTTCAAATTGTGTGTAATCAAATATTTTTAGACGGAACACCATAAATGATTTTATTAAATTAGACTTATAATATTTTAGATACTTAAAAACAAATTGTTTAGACATTTTCTTACATATTCGTCTATATATATATATACATATACACATACACATAATTGATGTTAAATTTAAATATATGTAGACATGTTTTATTTACAAAATAGTCTAGAATTTTTTTTTTTTTACACAATGTTAAATTGAAATGTTTTTAGATATGTTTTTCTTCTAAAATTATTTAGAAAAGTTGTAGGTGATTTCACATCTTTAAAAAATAATATAGAAAAATTTGAATACTATTACATATACTAATATAATATTTTAGGTGTTCTTAATATTAAACATACAAATTTTATATTCTCTTATACAAAATAATGTAAATTTTATATTTTATTATACAAAATAATTTTACATTGTTTGACCCCGAATCTTTAATTTATAATTATTAAGTATTGTTTATTCTCATCTTTAATTTATAATTATTATTTTTTTCTTCCTCTTTTTAAATAGGATCAATAGTAATTTCCACTTCTGTCATACTCAAACTCGAGATTTTTTTATAATATTGTTAATTTAATATTGTTCCTGCGCATTGCACTACACTAGTTATCGGAATAGGAGGAAGTATGTAGGTAACGTGCACAAATAATAATTATTTACAATACTTTTAAAAATCATATACTCGAAAAGATCGGGACCAGGAATGAATCTATATCTATATATATATAATTGCTAGCTAATCATTTAATAAAACCTAATAAATAAAACCTATTTAATTTTACCTAGCTGTCACTAATCTATTTTCCCTCCAATTTCAGTTACTTTTTCTATTAATTCCCCTACATAAATCATCTTAATGACATTAATCTTACTTTTAATTGCTTTCCAAAATCAAATGAGATATTTTTTTTTAAATCTGATTTCATCTTTTTTGACTGGGCCACACCATGTGATGTTCATTATAGATTTTACCGAAAAAAAAAAAGAAATACATAAATGATTTACAAAAAAATTACAAATATCATTTATG